CAAAACCTCTTTAATTGCTAGATTTGTTGCCCATGAAAACGAATCAGAACGTGTACTATGATGTTATTCTTGTAGCCCATTTGACAAAATGGAGATGGAAACGAGATACTCCGTATAAGGATCTTTGTTGGAAAAGAAAAGATAAGTTGTGGGGGGTATTGTTGTCATTCAATACAAAAAAGGTTGCCATTTAAGGAAATGAGAAGTTAATTTTAGGACAACCCAAAAAAGAAAATGAGAAGTTAATTTTAGGACGGAGGGAGTAGTATTTGTTTGAGAATACCGTTAGAGATTAACATTAACTTTTTGAAAATGATATCTGTGAACAGTGTTTAGCGTTAGCGTTTTCAAAGTAATCTGTACCGTTAAAATTTTATCCAAAAGATAACGTTAATCTCTAACGCTATTTTCAAACAGGCACATAGTCTCCAATCTTCATGTACCCAAATGAAGTTCCTTCTTCAAACTTTATTGGTTTTCTTTGACTATTTTTTATTACTTCATCCGTCCAAAATTATTTACAATATTTCGAACTATTTGTAAAATATCATCTCTTTTAAATATATTTTATTTATAATTTTTTAAAGAAATAAATAGTATAAATTACATCGTTCAAAAGTACATAAAAAATTTTGCAAAATAAGATGTGACAAAAATATTTAATTTTGTCAAATGGTCATCGAAACGAATAAACAAACAGATTTAATTGAAATACCGAAATGGTAACCATAGCATTTTTTTTTTGGGGGGGGGGGGAGGGAGTATTCATTAAATTAAGTTTGCTTCTTTTAACATTAGGGTCAAACATCATAATATGATATTGGCTCGACTGAGTCAATTACGATACACTGTTTGTAAAATTGACCCCTTTGTTTACCCTCACCCTAGCCCAATCCAAACAAACCATTCCACCCGCTTCAATTAGACCACTCAAGTTTAGTTTACTTCGAAGTCAATATTTTTACTCTAAAATCAACTAGATTTAGGTAGTCCAATTGAAGGTGGTAGGTGGTCGGATCGGGACAGATTTGGAAGGGTTTGCCAGTGGGTTTACTAAAAGTTCGTGGGGTGCAGCGGAAATCACCAATTGAAAGCTATGCAGACAAGTCAATCAACTATGCTGCTGTAGCACTATCATAATAACATATGACAGAGTGTGTGCTATAACATTTACTCTGTCACAAGCACACAAACACGAAAGCAGGTGGTGCAGATGGTGTTACAATGCCTACTAGGCAAAATGTTGTAATGATAAAATGTGTAAAAAAGAACATCAGGTATCTTTACGCAGTTTAGAGAAACTCTCCTAATTTGCGGGGCCACGTCCGTGTAATAATCTTCCACTAAATCACTTGGTGCAAGTTACACCGGTATATAACAACATGATGAGACACACTTCTCCAAATTGTTATGGCAATGCTTCTAATCTAGGATTTCTAACATGAACCTTGTTCAGATCCGCTTTGACTATCACATCTCCACCGAGATCACAAGGACAAGCATGTTGGCAGCCCTCTCCTTAAGCTTTGGTTCACCTCCTGGTTGTCACGACTTGTTTTTCATTGTAGGACTCCTTCATGTAGATCATAACTTTCTTCATGCAAGCGAAGCTCTGGGACGCGACGGGAACGCTCTACATCAGTGAATATTTTGTGTTTTTCCCTCTCAATCGCTCCATAGAATTCTCAAGGATCTGCTGCATTCTTTTAGGCTTCTCCAAACACAATTCTAGTAAGAATAGGTTAGTAGAAGTTCTCTTGAATACAACCTCTTTAATCTTTATCCACAAGTATCCTAAAACTTTCTAAAACCAGCTAGATTTATTATCATGTAGTCACAATCACAATAGGTCTCTAATTCTGAAAATTATGGATCGTAGCTTAAATCCCATTCACAGACTTCTAATCACGTACAGTGTGTTGCACCATTGTGACGTAGCATCTTTTGTGTTACCCTAAAAAACTGCATCAACTCTAGAAGTCTAAATAAAATAAACAGGGTAAGAATTTGGACAGGAACCATGCTCTGTTCTCTGCTTAGTTTTCCAAAAGGGACGATAGGTTCCTACCGCCTGGCGGTAGGTTACTACCGTCTCATACCTTTTGCCGTAATCTGCCAATGACCCAGACGGTACCATGGTACCGTGAGGCGGTACTAAGATATTGTACCCCGTTCTATTTGACTACTTTAGTCTGTTTGTTGACCGAATTAAGTCACGGATTGATTCCGAGACCTTATGTGTTGTGTGATGATAAGTGGAGGTGTTTACACCCAACACTAGGTCACTATTTATATTATTTGATGATTAGCTGATTGATGTTACCTTTCTTTATATTTTAAATACACTTTGGATATGCCTTAAATAAATATTGCAAAGTGAGACTACTTTTCGTGTAAACCTGAATAAGTAGAGTGATTGTAAATAAGTGATTAGGCTACATCGAGAAACTCTAAGACTGCTCTAAAGTGAATATAAATGTAAGTTTCGATAGGTAGAATCAGCCTTACGGATATGATATTTGATGACTACGGGTTAAAACATACATACGAGAACCACAAACTATCATTCTGAAGAGGACAAGGATACCACCCACCCAGCAAAGAACTTTTTTGTCGGTAAAGTTGTGTTGTATCGTATTGTGTTGTATATGTTTTTGTTACTAAATAGTCTTGGCCTAAAATAGGTTATGAGCATGTGTTATAGATATATAAATTTTAATAAAGATATAAACATCGACTTGATAACTGATGCAACCAAGTAATTAAGGTAACTGCCATGATATTGATGATATTATTTGATATTGCATGATATTATTTGATATTGTGATATTGTTTGTGCATGGAATCCTATGAGTGATTATGTATGTTGAATTAATCCTATGTGTGACTTCTATAGTTAGAATCTCTCATTCAGTGTGGAAGCTAAGCGTGTAGTTTGTTTTACTTGATACACGTAGGTAACAAAAATGATGAATAAAGAAACAATCTGAAAGGGTAGTAGGGGTGAGATGTGTTAGAATAAGTGCCCTTCAGTAGAGAGGGGGTGAATAGTGAGGCACGAGAATGTTTACAAATTTTCACAGAATAAAAATCGCAGGGATAAAGTAAAGAGCGAAAAAAACGCAAGGAAGCACACCAAGATTTATACTGGTTCACCACAACGTATGGCTAGTCCAGTCTCCCGAGAGACTCTCTCGAGCTACACTACTTCCGTTAAGCTTACGGGTGCTTAACAAACCGTTACAACCTGAGAACTCGAGTCCCACGAGCCTCTATACACTTGCCCGGAGATACCGCACTCCAAGACTTCAACCCGAAGGAATATTCCCTTTCTTCGTACAACCAAGGGAACAAACCTCCCTTAAAGTGTTTACAATACTTAACCATTCAAGAACAAAAACTCTCTTAAAGAGTAGAATATGAGTAAACTAATTTAGATTAAGAACACACTCAATTCCTCAAGAAATGGCTCTAAAAAGCTATGTAAAAAGTTTATGGAATGATGCAATGTAAAACTATGAAATGTGTGAGGAATGGTTGTGAAAAGTAGACCCAAGAGACCCCCTTTTATACCAAAAAACGAGGTGCAACGGTTGGGAGAAGATTGAGGTTGATTGGCTTGATTTGTGGAAATCAAATAAAAGTGGATCTACTGAAATTTGGCCTGACAGCGCCGTTCATATAGTGAACATCGCTTTCTTGGATTTGACTTTACTTTAGAAATGGCCAATGGCCATCAAAACATCGATGACTAGAAGTCTACATCGATGTTGGGGTGTTTGACTTTCAAAAATGGAAAGATTTAGTCTTAAATAGCCCAACGGTCATTTGAAAACATCGATGTTCAACAATGAACATCGTTGTTCAAAAACCTATTGCCCAAGACTTCTGAATGCCAACATCGCTGTTGGGATTTCCGACATGCATATTAGGATGGTTCGCCAGAACCATGGTTTGGCAGCCAACGCCCAAAACCGATGTCAAAAACCAAAGTTCTCCAAAATGAAAACCAAGTGTTGGAAACTCTTATATAATATATTTTATGTAGAAACCAAGTATAAAAATTTAAAAACCACTTCATTAAGGTAAAAACCACGGCTAGCCAATTTTATGTCGTTTCACATGGTTTTTACCAAAACACCAAAAACAAAAGGTGGTTTTAACATGTTTTTGTTTGATAACTATTCGGATATGCCCATAAGTAAAAACAAATCATAAAAACTTAAAAAACCACTGGATTGATTTGGACACCAAAAACCAACGCCGATAACCAACGCCGGAAAACAAAGGTTATGGTTTTTGAAAACTAATCATTTTAAAAACCTTTAAATGTGCTTAGAAGCAAAAACCAAAGATAAAAACCCAAAAACCATTTGGCTAAAAATCAATGCCAATAACCCATGCCGAAACCCGAACGCCATAACCGAACACCGATAACCGATGGTTATGGTTTTGGTTGGGCAAGAACCAGGGGTTTTAGAAACTTAAAACCATTTATGAAAACATTCATTTGATGCATGAAAAACATATATTGTTTTGAGCCATGACTTAGAGAAATTGAATGAGCTTGTTACAATAAAAACCTAAGTATTTAGACAACATCTTCAAAATGGCAATGTCGTCGTCTTTAGAAACGTCAATGCCTTTCTTGTGCTTTTTGTGCTTTCAAAGAGCTTTTTCTATGACTTTGAATATTTTCATTTTGCCCCAAGTTTCTGACGGTTTGTCAATATCAAAACCTAAACGGAAACAAGCATTCCCATTAACCAAACATCAATGTGAAAATGCTTTCTAACAAGATGGCGTGTGGATGCATGCTGATAAATAAATTTAATTAATATTTCTGTTTGAATCATTATGTTTTCTGGGTAAGAACTCAAAGTTATGTTTTGAACTAAGTAATTAAGCTTCCGTACCGTTATATATATATATATATATATTACTTATATAGAGTTATAAATGTTGTTTCTGAATTTATTATTTTAAAGTGTTTTAAAAATAAGATGTGTTTAAATGACAAATCCAATAACAGTGTGGTCCGCTAGTCTATGTATTCGTGTTATGCAGGTCGGTGTGTTAAAAAGAGTCACATTGCTTTATGCATGTGTACGCAGTACATAATATTGATTTTGAATTCAAATTCAATAATATATCCTATCCATACATTTCATCCAACTGATTTATCGAATACGTATCCTTAAAGATTATTTAATATAATTCCACAACATCAAATCAAAATAATACCAGTAAGGAGAAGTTGAACACTTGAACCATATTATAGAATAAATTTCCAACAATGTGTTCATGCATAGTATTGAATTTTGTTTTGTACATATATAATTGCCATAATTTTTATACTCCATATAATTTTAAACATAAAAATTATATTTTTCTAATTTATAACCATATATATATTAGGCTATATACTGGACTAGGCTATAAGGCGATTGGGTTGAACTACATTAAAAGATTGAATCTAATCTATTAATTAGATGAACTCAAGAGCTTATATACTGATTATTTTACTCTTAACTTTTGTTGTGGGTTGCACTCTAACACTCCTCCTCAAGTGGGTAATCGAGTCATTTTGAATCTAACCGATTAACCAATTGCAAATGGTCTCCCATCCTCTTAATTTTTGTGAACGCTAACACCTAAAGGATCACGAGCCGATGAGTATGAACTTCTAGAGGAGCAATCGTGTTAAACGGGCCACAGGTCATTGGGTACATACTCCATACGGGCAACTGGGCTAAAGACTAACGGGCCGCTAGGAATGAACGTCTAGGCGGATACATTGACAAACGATGTGAGCCAAAACTTGCTCCGATATTATATTTGTCTAGCATTTGCTACTCAAAAATGAATGACTCGATAATAGTCGTTAGCTCAATAAGAAATACAATGTTTTTTTATACTGAAAATATATAAGCAATCGTTAACTAGAAAGAAATTCTTCACTAATTTCTAGTGGTTATGCAATATTCTTGTACAAATACGTTTGTATGGTACCATAAGATTTTTTAAATCTGGAGATGCAATGTTAGTTTCAAATTAGAGTTGAACACGATTTCATTTTCAAATTATAATTAAACTTGATTCTAATTTTGAGGAACATTTAGGAATGGGGTGCATTCTTTTTAATGGACAATTTATATCATACAGGCGGCTGTACGGTTCATCTCGTACACCGGCGTAAATTAGGAGCCTAGCCGATTTGGGAGCCATTTCCGTGCGACTTGGGAGGGATTGTTGATTAGTGGCCACACGATTTGGTAGTCCTCGTCGTGCAAATCTTCGCATGCCCTCCCTGTGTCAATCCAGCAAGATCGAGGAAGCAGTTGCGACGTTGCGTCAATCGATGATGAAGGCAAATACCTATTGATTGCATTGATGAGGAAGCTCGACAGTGTCGAGGGAATGAAGTGAGGATGGCGGCACAAGGTGTGAGTTTAGGATGATCGGAATTGTGTTAGTACACATTCTATTATGTATTGGCACTCATTTGTATTCTCTGTAATATTATATTCATTTTTAACGACTAATTAGGTGGTATAAATGGTACACTACTTAAGGATGATCACTACGTTATTTGAGGAAAAAAGTTCATTATTTCAGAATGAACACTACAGTATTCATAAATGAATATTATAATGGTAATGAACAAACATGTGACAATGAACACTATGTTATTTCAAAATGAACAGTACGTTGATTAAAAAAGAACACTACATTATTTCAAAATGAATACTTTTTTACTCCAAAATAAACACTTATGTTTTGTGTGAATATGAGTACTACTTAACTCCAAAACGAGTACTACAGTAGTTCTTGTACAACCAAATTGCATAGTATACATTCTCTTTTTAGGTCAAGTTCTCTTCAACTTTTTTTTTATTTATTCTTATTGGAATCAATTAGATCAGATCAGAAATAATTTTAAATATAATAACATTAGATTGAGATTAAATCAAAATTTATTCTAATCATACCATCCATATCATATATCATATGAGACGAGAAGAATATGGCCTTAGAATTCCATGGACACAAAAGGAGCATCCTAAGTGCAGTGACGCGTGTAATTCACACTCCACTTGGCCCTCATATTTCGCCTCTGTCAAATTTCCTCTTCTCCTCGTTTTTTTCTTTTGTTTAACCGTCCTCCTCTCGCGCAAAAAGCCCTAATTTGCTGCGTCGCCATTTTCCCCCCCTGCTTCCGTTTGATTTCTTACTTTTTTGGGGGAAAAAGATTGCGGGGTTAGATGGAGAAAAAAGACGAGGATTTGTCGATACAGATTTATAAAGATCCCAATTTTACCGGCGGTTGCTTGGAAATACGGCTGTTCTACGTCCGGATTGCGCCGTGCGCAGTTGGCGCTGTGCCGGACCACCTCACCCTCCGCCATCTCCGCCGCGAGATGGGCGTTTGGCTCGAAATTAATGGGTCTCGCCTCCCGGCCTCCGACGCCGCTTGGATCACGCTCCGCCTGGATCGAGCTGATAAGGATTCTTCCGAGGCGACTTATTTGAGCACCGACAGAGTCCGAGTTTCTGGGCCGGTGGAGTTTGAGGTGCAGGAGACGAAAGATGTATTGCTTCTGTGTGGATCTTTAGAGAGAGGGGAGACCCCGTGGACGGATGGGTTGGATAGTTCCTCCAAGACTGGCTGGAGCTTGGATTGTTACACGGCGGCTCCACTTGTGTCCGGGGGGTCGTCGTTTTTCCAGCCCAAATTTTCCTTTTGCTCTCCTTCCATTGAGGTCTACATAGCAGGTTGTTGTTCTGGTGTGCCTGTTATACTGACAAAAACTATCCAGGCTAGCCCGAGAAAGAAGGTTCCGAGGCAGAGTGTATTGGATGCCATTCCTGAGGATGAGGAAATAGGGAAGGAGCAGAAAAGCAGTAACAGATTGGTTCTTCAGCGTCAAAAGATGGTATTGCAACTTTTACTATTAAATTATTATAGTTTTAGCAATTCCTACCCGTATGACGTGAAAGCTTGGTGAATAACTTTCAATCTAGCTTATGGGATTTGAGCAGGCATCGAAATGGTTGGCAGCATAAGGCCAGAGTAGTGACCATTATTGGTATAAAATTAACAATCTTTTGGGGTGACATCTTACAGGATATTAGTGTGCTGCTCTTGATGCAGCATTATTTGTTCAGTGGAATAAGAGCCTTAGCTCCTTAGCTTGCAGTAACTTTAGAGGCTGCTTTTGAAACTTTCTGCAATTAAACTAGGAGTCGTAAGTAAAGTGACAAGTTTGCAGAATTGTTTGCAATTAGACGGGCGGTTAATGGTTATTAGTTATGCACATGTACATTTGAAGTGGCACATGGACTTAGTTTAATAAAGTGTGCCTCGGGATGAAGCGCAGTCATGCATTTTTTTCCGCTTCATCCGCTTCATGAGCTTAATGGATCAAAAGCTCTTTAAAAGCAAACTATGGATCTTCTTCCTCTTTCTTGTGTATCAGTGTCATTTATTGGAAAAATGTTCACACCTCCTCTCTCTAGTTTTAGTCTGCATAGGCAAATTTCATATCCTTCATACCTTTTTTCTTATTTCTCGTGATCGTTCTTTCCCCTCCTCCCTTCACCACCACCGCCACTATCATCTTCTTGCTTCTTCAGTTCTTCTTGGTATCTTCTTTGAAAATTCCATATCCTTCACAATTTTTTATTTTCTCTTGATCAATCTTCTTCTTCTTCTTGCTCCTCTAACTCCTCCATGTTCTATTAAATTTTTCTACTCCTTTAATGTGTGTCAAGACCAAGACTATTTGTCACAGGACAGTGACTGACCAAAGAAGAGGAATCACCTTCCTTTCCTATGGTGGAAAGCTGCGGTGATGACCATGGAAGCTGGGGGAGCATGGACACATGTAGGGTTGGTGGAAGAGAACTTCCTTTTGAATTTTATTTCAATACAAACTTGATTCTAAATTACAAAGAGTAATTGTCTTTAAATACAACAATCCTAATTGAAAAGGGAAATTAACAGTATTACTAATAATAATGAATTTTCCAAAAGACTATTTGGGATAAAATAGGAAACTACGAGTATTACAGAGTATAATTAATTCTGACAGTAGCCGGCTATTGTTTGTGTAATTGTGTTCCTCACCTCCTTGTACCTCTTAATCTCTTACTCCCTCCGTCCACATTTAAAGTTCACGCTTTGACCCGGCACGGAGTTTAATAAAAGTTAAAATTTTCATTGACTTTCCCAAAATACCCCTCATCCCTTCTCTTCTTTTCTTGTCCACCCATTTGCTTCTATCCGTGCAATGGGATGCCCCCCACTCATCAAGGCCGAACCTCCTACCTCCTCTGCCATTATCACCGACGGCCGACTGCCATGCCTGCTCCTTCAATTAAAAAAAAGAAGACGAAGAAGGAAGAAACTTGGGGCTCCTTCCCTCCGAGCCAACACACCATCCAACATGCCATCATCAATCTGCGCCTGAACTTCGCCACCACTTCCGATTTCTTTGTTGACGCTGACCTTCGATCTGAATTGAAATTCTTAGATCTGACGGAGATGGACAAGAAAGAAGAAAAGAAAGAAGAAGAGGTGAAGATGGATTGGGCGTTGGTCCATGGAATTGGAGAAGAAGAAGAAGAGATCGGACCGCCCTTTTACCTCCGACCACCACCTCACTGCCCCACCTGTACTCCGATGGCTGCTTCGCTGCTTTCAATTTACAAGAAAAAACCAGAAGAGCAAAGGAGAAGAAAGAAGTAAAACAAGAAGAAGAAGAGAGAAGAAGAAGATGTGAGTATAAGAAAAGAGAAAAAGAGAATGAAAGAAAAAGTGACGGCTGGGAAATGGATGGGGAAGGAAAACGAAAAAAAGGATAGGGAGTGGGTGTGGGGGGTAATTTAGACTTTTTAGTATAAAAAACGTTCCAAAAATAGAAATGGGAAGATTATTTTTGGACGGACGAAAAAGGAAAGTGAGAACTTTATTTATGGACGGAGGGAGTATATGCGTACACATGCCCTATGAATGCATTATTTCCCCCATCCTGGAGATCAAGCCTGAAAGTAGGAAAATGGGTGCGGAAGTCGTCCAAGTTATCCCATGTGGCGTACTAGCGTCTTCGTCTATCAACGCCTCCCAATGCACCAAAATTTTATAGAAGTATCTCACCAAATTTGATCAGATATAAGGAATGGTTGGATTAACCCGGCCAGGTCAAGATTTTCCTATCTGGTGCTCTGGATTGACTAACAAAAGAGCATTCATCCCCGACAAATGGAATTCACACTTCAGCGATGAATTATTTTTTACTCCGTGAGTGGAGTTATGGGTGGCTGCAATTACTTGAACAAACAAGTTGGACTCAGGAAAAAGAAATATCTTCCTTTTGTACAAAATTAACCCATCAATTATCAGCCATCAAGAGTGCTGGACTGCTGCTGGGCGTTCAAATTCAAGAGCTGTAGGGGAGGATGTATGAAGTTACCAAATATCATCCAACAAGGTAGAAGAAAGATATGGAAGTGCAAAACACAGCCCCTCTTCTTCCTCACACTGTGATGAGGCATTGATGACAACATCAAAAGCAGATAGTTTGCTCACCCAATGTTGTTGTGGCGGTTATGTCAAACACTCAAGCGTTACTGCAAAAGTTACTTTAAAGTTTAAACTGAAGTAGTCTGTATGAATAACAAAAGAGTGATCTCATAAATGGTGTGTCCAACAGCAGACTGCCTAAGGTCAACCAGAAAGCTCATGTTCATAGGCTGGTAATATGGGTCCACCAACCTTTCGTTAAAGAATGCCACTGGGTTGTTTGTCCTAACTCATATGATTAGGAATCTCATAATGACCAGGAAGGGATGTTACTAAACAGTCAAGGGTCTGAGTAAGTTTGCAAACATAGATCTAATTAAACTAGAAATTTCAGACTTAAAACAGAGGATAAATGGATCATGGGAGCAGGAAGAGTTGTGCCCTATCCAAGTACCTATGAGGTAGACTGGACTCATCAGCTAGTCACATAAGAACTGGGTGAATGATAATTTAAAGGTAGAAAACAGGGTTTGGTTGTCCATGACACATTTAGAAGATGATGAAACAGAGTTGTTCTATCGTGGTCCTAAGGTCCACATATAAAACATGGACCTTCTTATACTTTTCATGGGGTGACAAGTGGATTTTTTTTTGTACAGGCTCTATTCTTTTATTATATCAATACACTAAGGTCCATAAAATTAGCATGGACCTTAGGACCATGTAAGAATTTGGCAATGAAACAAGACATGCATTTGTATTAACCGAGTGGGCAACTGCTGCGGTAGAGGTTTAGGTACACTTCAGGAAGTCCTGGTATTGGGATAATTGAGCAAACTAATACAAAGATATTATTACAAAATTTTTGGAGCGTTTTGTTTACAGTGGCAATATCCACACCTTGAGACCCTTGATATTTGTATTTCAATTTCCTGCAATAATGTATCCCGTTTCCCGGCTTCTACTCATTCTTATATAAGGTTGACTCAGAGTTGGCCATGGAATTATTAGCATTGGTTGGCTTGGCTAGTTGGATCACTATAGGTGGAAAATAGAGAAGAAATATGAGAATCGGAAAGAACATGATATTCTGCTGTCTCAAAATCTGAAGGTAGACCTACGAAAAAGCTCAAGGCATCTGTTACTTTTGGTTTTGTTGCACCTGCAGTGCTAAGAGTCATCAACTCATTAAATTTTGTGTAGGGGTGTTTAATTTGCACAAAATAGGTAGTAAACCTTGGGTTTTAAGTTTGGCAAAAGGCTTTACACACCTCGTATAACATCCCTATGTTCAGTATACATAAGATATAGATACTGCTTTAGGTCATTAACAGGTTCACTATGACTAATTAAACCAAATACGAGTACCCTACTTTCAATAGAGTTACAAATTCATAGGAAGCTAGTGTAATCTCTTAACCATGTTTCCTTGCAGCATAATCTTTCATAGGGTTGTTAGTTACATTATTGTCTTTATTAACAGTTTTATTCCACCCTAAATGATTGGAACCATTATGTCTGCTTGGTAATTTTTGTGCTTATCAGAATAACATCAACCGTATAATAAGAGATTTTTTCTCAGGTATATTTGCCCTAGATGAAGTAGAATTGCCAAATAGAGAAAAAAAATACATAATTATCTTGGACCAAGAATTCAAGAGACCTTAGGGAACTCAAAAATGTACATGTATTCCAGAATCTGAATGTAGGGAATCCGACGAGACGAATGGTCATGGCCCATGAAGATCCTGGTGGTTAGAGGCCTGAATGACTAAAGTTGCTTGTATTGAAAGTAATGAATTGTTTTTTTTCTTTTTTAGCTAACAAATTTATATTTTGATACCTTCCAAACACAACGTTGCATGAGAATGGCCAATCCTGGTCAACACTGGTCATTGGTTAACAGCTGATCAATGGTCATCTGTAAAGTATCGAAAGGTCTTACTATGTTTGTCTAAAAGAGACGAATGCACTGGTGCAAAATTTTGGCTGAGATCTGCAGTGAGGGAGAGATCAAGATGGAATTAATATGAACCACTGACTAGATAGTACAGTTGATGCTGGAAAATTAAGAATGCAGGAAATAGGCATTGATACCATGCTATTAAGTGTAGGAACTCCCATATATCGCCACTTTTAGTTGCCCCAAAACAGGGTATCATTGATGAGTTTGCATTTATTGCATTGGCCTACTGAGAAAAACTATGAGGTCTCACTATGGATGGGCAGGGAAATAGCTTTAAAATATTTGCCCAGAACCTTTCATGGGCTCTGACAAAGATGCATTTTTTATGGGTAGGGAAATAAAATTCTGCTGTTTTACGTTTCATGTAACGCGAATATCCTAATGGTAATCCGAGGATTTGTGTATCATCTGTCTGTTCATTTTAATTTTAGTTACCAATCTATAGAGGTCTTGTGCACTAAATTATAGAAACAAGCCCTGTAAAAAGACCATCGAGAAACATCAATCTGCTAAAATAAAATCATGGCTTGATATTTGCATCCAACATGACATAAATTTCCTTCATGCAATTTGACAATGTGTTATCTGTATATTAAAAGTTTGGGTTTCACTTAAGCAGATCACAGAAGCTGAAGTGGATTATTATGGTTCAGATGCAAAAGCTGAGCATGGTTCATATTTGGATGGAATGTACCCTGGTGAAGAGGGGCAGCTGTCATGGTTTAACGCTGGGGTGAGAGTTGGTGTGGGAATAGGCCTTGGGATGTGTGTAGGTGTCGGCATTGGTGTCGGACTTCTCATGAGATCCTATCAAGCCACAACCAAAAACCTTCGAAGGCGGTTTTTCTAGATGTGGCGAAGTTCAGAAATATCAACTTTTTTTCCTTCTGGTTTTTATGCACATCAGCATCAAAGTGACCTTAGGCAACACATGTCCCCATGCCATAAAAGCCTTTTCTGCATAGTGTCTCAAGTGTATGTGTAGTGAGCCTTTTGTATATATTTCCTTTGGAGAAATTTTTGTGTCAAGATGTGTTGTGTTGTAGCCTTTTCTTGTGAATATGTTAGAAGAGTTTCAATTTGTTATATTCCATTTTTGTTCCCATAGAAAGTCTTCCCCCTCTTGATAGCATTGTGAAGAGTGGTGGTGGTGTGTATGAAGGTAGTGACAACACATTCTCATATAGTAATTATTTCATTTTATGTATTTCTATGTTCATTTGTTCCAATTTAGCTGCATTCTTTTAAAATGCTTCAAACTAAATGATCATGTTGAACACTAGGGTTCTTGACACCAAGGGTGCAGTGTCAATATGACATTGGAAAGTAACCTGAAGAAAAAAAGAAAAGAGAATCAGGAACTCATGTTCTTTCAATTTGTGCACGGCGAAGGTCCCGATCTCAAACGGATGGCTCGATCTTGAGGAAAGTAAGCGGCTTGATCTATTCTCCCTATAACCTTCTACTCGCTCGCAACGACGACGACTGGAAAAACAGAGAAAAGAGAGGTCGTGAGTAGATTGAGAGGCGTCGAAATTAGATTCGGGTCTCTCTGGCTTCACTGAATACTAGCGCGGCAAAACTTCAATTTGTCAAAGAAAAAAGAGACGAGAAGAGTGGAGAGGGAAAGAGAATGGGGTAGAACAATAGATCTAGGGTTTCTCTTTGAGGGAGAGACGTAAATGTGGAGTACATGAGAAGAGGGGTATATTAATCACTTTACACTTTTTTGGAAATGGAAAGGTAGTTTTAGGGCATTGAAAAACGAGGAGTGAGAATAATGTTTTAGGACGGAGGGAGTTGCTCTTTGATGTTTTGTTTGTCTTCGAAGTAGTGTCTACCATAGTCTCCTGTCTAGGTGACGATCCACTGTCAAATGTAGTATTTGACAATGGACTGTTACGGGTGTTACGGGTATAGGACAGTAAAAACTACTTCAGAATTGAATAGAACATTGTAGGATTTTTAAATGGACAAGTGTTATACTCCTCTCGTCTCTTTTAGATTACAATATTCTATTTTTGAGAAAATTAAGGAGTTAAATCACTAAATTTTTCTCCAAACTACCCCCAATTAAAGAGGAGTCAAATCATAACTTAGGGAGATGAAAGAGGGAGTAAAATGGTCTAAATAGTGTTAAAATTGAAACTTTGTAAATTTTTTTTGAGACAAGAATGAGAGAGAATATTGTAATCAAATTAGGGACGGAGGGAGTATTACGAAAGAAATAGTGAAGGAATCGGGCGACGAAATTAACAACGACGGAATATTTCCGTCGCCACAATTGACGACGGTTGGAGCGACGGTTTCTGCATTTTGACCATACATCGACGGAAATGATATTCTGTCGCCAAATCCTTCGCCAATTTGACAACATTAATACATGAAGCTGCAGTTTTTTCAATTTCACACAACATCTATACCAACATGCTCTAGCTCAGAAATCCATAGCATGAAACAACAACAAATACTAGAAATGAAGAGTATCAAACAACCAAGAATATTCAAATCACCAAGGTACAATTAAAATTCAAATAATATTTATAAAAATTCAACTTAACAATCAAATCTAACTCCACTTACATAACCATCAAACTTAAGTTTCATATAATGTTCTTCAATTCTAATAAAATAATCAACAATCGCCTGCAAACCCTGACCCTCCTCCATCTCCACCGCCATCTCCATTTCCACGCGGGAAAACTCTTCCAATGAGTCGGGTCATCTCTTCTCTAGTCGATAATAGTTCACTCGCTTGGGAAGCTCTAATGCCGTCTAGCTCTTCTATCAATCTGCTGATCTCTTCTCTAATCGACAATAGTTCATGCGCGTTCCGATTGAGTTCTGGAACCGACACTGGGTCCTCCATATTCACCGAGATTTGGGTATCGAAGAACGTCGGATTATTCTTGTATGTTTGGTAAAGTCACATCGCATCCTCGTTTGGCTCAATACCAAACAGAGGAACGAAGGAATTGAAAGAATTCACAATAAAAATTAAAAAATATGGAGCAGTAGATAAAGATATGAAATACTCCCTCTGTCGCAAAAAATTACAACACTTCATTATTCAAAAATCACACCAACTTTTATTTATTTTCACGTTTTCATTTTTTATTTGATAAAATATAACATTATTGTCACACTTTATTTTGTAAAACTTTTGACATAATTTTTAAATATGTAATTTTTAATTTTTATTTCTATACCAATCTTTACATAAAATGAATTAAAAAAACTCAAAAAATTTATTCGTTTAGCACAATGTTTTAAGCTTTTTGGGACGGAAAGAGTACGAGAATATAGAATTGTATGAGAAAGATATGAAATATTAGAATATGTTGTGTGGATATTTTTAAAATAGGAGAATGTATTTATAGTAGAAATTTTAATAATTTTCTTTTTGAATTTGCAACGGCCAAATGACCGTTAGGAGGGGGGGTGGGGAGGAGGGCAACGACTACTGAAGAAGGCTGAGCTGCATTAAGCGTTTGACACAACCACCTCAACGCCAGTTTAACGGGAAAGGAGTCGGTGTTTAACGTTACGGCGTTAAACATCAATTTGACGCCACGGCGTTAGGCCCATTTTCGGTATCATAAGATATTAAGATCTTCATACAGTATTTTATTTTGAGTATTTGTTTTATTTATAATTCCATGAAAAAGAAGTGGGATACTCTCAGTTGTTACAATCCAAGCGGCGACAAGTGGGAAACTGGGAATAGTTTGCCGGGGCGTGGACGGCGGAGCGATAGACTTGAATTAACGTTTCCCAGATACTGTGGGCCCCATATGGGTGGGTCCCACCACTCTTTTTATACGGACTATCTCTTTTCTTTTCTTTTTCTTTTTGTTGGCATGGCAAGCTGGCTGGCACATGGACCCCACGAGGTATTTGATAACGCACGGCGGCCTCACGAGATGCACTCCCCCCCTCCCTCCCTCCCTCATTTCTTTTTGAAAAATGCTAGGGGTGTACCCCATATGTCCCCCACTCCCTCCTTATCCACTAAAAAGGCAAAAAAATTTTTTTAAAAAAAGTAAATAAAAATCAAATAAAAATGTGTGGTGGAGAAGAGGTGGTGTTCATTTGAGGTACACCTTTTGGTGTACCCCTAGCATTGCTCTTTCTTTTTACTATCTTTGACTAATATAGTTTTCTTACAAATTGTGAGAATTTAACTTTTTTTTGGTATTTACCTACAAATTAAATATAGTTTAAAATAAATAAATATTATAAAAATTTTATAACTCAAAATTATATTTCAAAATGAAACTAAATTTACTAAATTTACATTATAGCTAAATATATTTTTTCTATAATTTATGGTCAAAGTGTTGCAGAGTAGGACTGAAAAGTTCAAATTATTGCAATCTTTTTGGGACGGAGGGAGTGTATATTAAGAAACTATATCAAAATTTCTATAATTAAAATATGGTATTGATGGGTGTATTCCACCCACGACCGGTCAAAGGAGAAGACCAATTAGTTGACCGGTCAATCTCGAAAGTCTTGGAATGGAGACTTAAATCGTCAGCAAATCGATTTGTAATCGGGCAAAAGATGACCGGTATACTTCACGAAAAAATATACCGGTCAAACTACGTTGTCACCCTATTTATTCCCGGACTTCGATGAATTCATCCCTCGGAGATTACCCGGTGTAGTTTCTAGAGTTGGATAGTGTCAGCAGAAGAGAATCTGAGAGGGCTTGGCGTGTAGCGACCCATGTCAGTAGAGGACAACTGGAGATGCTGAAGAATCCATCCAAGGCACTACTCGACAAAGGGAATAATCCCCCTCACAAGGCGACAAGGCAGCTTGAGGACGAAACCAGTCACCTCGCACCACATCAGCAGCATGCCCCCACGTGGGCGCACATGGTCTTGTCCCCTTTAGCCTAGTATAAATACTCATGTAAACCTCAGAAAGGGGGATCCGAATTCATTCTCTCTAAACTCCCTTGTAAGAGCACCCGTACATTCTCCGTTATAATACAAATTGGGCTACAGGTGTTCCACCTAAGGTCCTACCGGTCAATCTGCGTGTTTTTACCTTTCTTACTTTACCAAATCAAGCAAACTATTCTAGATCCGGTCTAGTATAGTTTGACCGGTCAAGTAATTTACACCATCAGGTATGATTATATTATTTTATCAAATAACTAACAAAAATTGATTTTAAAAAAAGTAATTAAAGTTTAATTGCATGAGTAGCAATTAGGAAAATTGTTTCACAACAAAATAATTCTTCCGGAAAACTGTTAGAGTCGCAAACATTATTAACTTTACTATTTTACTATTCTTGGATCATAACTAAACAAGAAATGGTCTCAAATAGTACTCCTTCCGTCCCACGAACTCTTTTTCTTCCTCTTTGTCAGTTTGTCCTATACTTTTTCTTTTCTATTAAAAATCTACTTTTGCTTCTATAATCTTAGTGTGATGTAAGTATACATTTGGCAGTGTGATGTAAAAGTGACAACACTGCAATACGGTTGTACGGTCAGTCAACAGTCGGTGATCAGCGGCGATACATTGGTGGTCGACAACGATGTATGCCAATGTGGCAGTGATAGTGTGGCAGTTACAACATGATAATGTGGTGAGCGTGACAGTGTAACAATAACACTATTAATTTTTATTTTGGCTTTAAAAGACTTAGAATGTCACACTTCACTTTTTAAAAATCATGAACTTTAATTTATTTGCACATTTTCATTGATTATTTGATAAAATAAAATATTTAATTCGTGTCAACTCTTATTTTGTTAAAGTTTTGACGTAGTTTTTGAGTATGCACGTTTTATTTTTTACGAAGTATTCTGTACAAATCTTTAAAGAAAATGAATTGAAAAAAATTAAAAATTTTACTTCGTTTTGTGTAATATGGCAATCTTTTTTAACGTCGTGCAAAATCTCATAATTTTTTTTATTAGTTTTATTTAAAATTTAATATAGAATTTAAAAATACAACTTACATAGGGAGTATTTAAAAGCCACATAAAAGATCTTTATAATTTATTGAGAATGCTTAAAGAATTTGTGTCTGGTTAAAACTAAAAAGTTGCTTAATTTAAATGGACGATCTTTAAGGGAATTCGATTGGATGCAATTTCTAAATGACAGTCTACTTAATAGATT